GCCCTCTGCAGACTGCTCCTGTCTCCCCCAGTGACTGAGGACCAGCTGAGGCCCTGGGCTCCCGGCCTTGCCCCTTGGCAGACTGCTCCTATCTCATGTGGCTCTCTCTGCCCACAAACCCAATTCCCACCTCTGGCCACTATGCCAGCTTTAGGGCAGCCTCCACTTGCTAGGGAGTTCTGAGGGGTGCCAGATTTAAAAATGGGGGCTGCGGAATCCCTTTTTTGATTTTTCTATTTTAAAGCCTGTGTGTATGGTCTGGACAGCAAAAGGACATTATATGGTTCTCCCCTTCCCAAGACGTAGGACTCTTCATCAATGTTACATCAATCTCCCCCATCCTCTTTCCTCTCTTCCTTTTCTTAGTAACATGGAGTTTTCAAAGTACTTGTTTATATTTCTTCTGTCAACGAGAACTCTATCTTTTCTTTTTCAGTTTTAGGGTTTATCCCTCTACAAGAAATCAGAAAGTTCTCCCTGCATCTAGCATAAACCCCTCTTCTGTAATGGGCTTCATCATAGACCATGTACTCCAAAGCGGCAGACCTCCTGAGCACCTGCCATCCTGGGGCAGAGAACAGGTTCTCTTCTGGCATCTTCTCAGAAGACAGGGCTCTGGATATTCCAGAAAATGAGGGTTCTGGGTACCCCACAACATAAGGGCTCGGGGTACCCCATCGCCAAATTGGAAGGGCCTGCTGCCAAGGGAAGGTGACTTTTTCTGGTCCTTTGCTCTCTCTCCATACCGGTCATGCTGGTGCAAACAGGAGTACTGTACATGTTTGCTGAATGACTGAGTGACTGTATTAGGTGGAAGAAGAGCCGTGGACAGGGGGCGAGAAGCTCTTGTCCATGGTCCCATCCGAGAGGCTAGGCTGTGGGTAGGGTGAAGGCAGGGAGCAGGGATGAGATGGGGGCAGGGTGTCTGGGAGAGAGCTTTCTAGCAGGATCAGAAGGCCCCTCCCAGCAGCCCTGGCAGCATGGTCAAAGGAAGAGGAAGCTGCCAAGTGAGGTGCCTGAGGGCAGCCTTTCTATGGCGCTATCCATCACCTGTAGCTATCCAAGGAATGTGGAGAGCGAGACCCAAGCCAGAGGGAACATGGGTGGCAGAGGGTAGCAAGCCCTTTCCCCCAGCATAGAAACCAGGACCTGGCACTGGGCTGTGGCCTGCGAGTCCCCTCCTCCTTCCCTCTTTCCCTTCTCTGGCTGACCTGGAACTCGCTATGCAGCCTAGGCTGGCCTTGAAGCACCATAATCCTTCTGTCTTGGCTTCTTGGGTGCCACCATGCCCAATTTCCATTGGTTAAACTTTCCCTTTGAGGTGACCACCACGTGTCCTGTATGGCTGTGTGGACCACTGTTGTCCCTAAAGTCACAATCCAGGTGAATGGCAAAAATGAGGCTGCACACCCCACAGCCTAGAATAAAGGTCTACACAGTGACAACGTGCGTGCTCCTTAGAACCCAAGCCAGGCTGGAACGCTGTTGCCTGTCAGCACCCTCTCAGAGAAAGAGCCAAGTTTCTCCAAAGGCTGCAGGGCTGACTGACTGGCTGGTGCTTCTGGCCTCTTCTCAACTGCTGCTCAGGCTGGCCTCTCTATCTGGATTATTCTTCCCCCAGTTAGCTGTTTGATTCTCTTCCTTGACTTTAGGATCCTGCTCAGAAGTCACCTGCTCTGGGGGCCTTCCCTGACCCCTCTCATATAAGAAACACCTAAGCCCCATTGCTCCCAAGCCTTCCTGGTCCTATGGTGGCCACCAGTCACGTGTGCCTCCTGAACACTTGACGGTGGCCGAACAGGATCCAAACCTACTGTAAGTGGGAAACAGGCACCGCTTCAAGGATCAGGACGCCAGCCCGAGCACAACAGCTCAGGGGTAGTTTTCTCTGTGGAGTGAGGTCAACACAGAGGCATTTGGACCCGGCGAGACGCCTCATGGTTCAGCTGCTTTCACGTGTCCCATTCTGCTGGTCTCACTGAACCATCACCCTAGATGTCCTGACTGAGTCACTGTCACCTCCAGATGGCTGTGTGTATCTACTTGGTGTCTGTCCTCCCAGAGATGCCGGCTCCCCAGAGTGGGCTTGTGAGTCATCATCCCTCTGCTGCAGCCCCAGAAAACCTATTCCAGAGGGGCTTTATGAGGGCACAAAAGTGCTACCCGGTCTGCAGAAACGGTATTTGGAATTCTGAATTTGGATTATTTCCAGGCTGTCCACAGACAGCTCCGATGCTGGTCAGGGCAGTGCGTGCAGCTTGCAGGCAGAGGCTGGAGACTGGTCCTGTGGCATGCTCAGCTGCCCAACCAAGCTTGTATGTAACACTCTGCACTTAGGACAGAGTCCATCGGAGATCCCAGAGAGCCACAGCTGTAACTGAAGAGCCAACTCCATATTCAGCAGCATTCAGCAGTGTTGGGATTTTGATCTGGACTCTGGATTCTAGAGTATCTGAATGTGGGGTGGGGGTAGGGATGGGAGGGGGTTGTTGGGTTTCATCAGAGCATAGGTATGGAAGGTTCAGGTTTGGGAATCTGGGTGCAAACTTTGCCTCCTGCCACAGGAGCCTCAGTTTCTCTATCTGTCCTATGATGGTCTTACTCTCTGACAGATATTCAGATAGGTGTCCTTGTTCAGGTGTCCCAGGAACTTCAGGTAGGAGAGGCTGGGGGACCTTGTCAGACCCCCACCTGAGTTGGAAAACAAAGGAGGACTGTCCTGAAGCAGGCAGCGCCTTACACAGCCCCGGAGAAGCTGTGGGTACTTAGGTCCAAAGTGGCTTGGCCAGGAGTCCCTGTTCCTTTGGGGTGGTAGCCCTGAGGGGCTTAAGCACACCCAGGTAGACATCCAGGTCCATGTCCTTGATGGGGTTTTGGACTCCAGGGAAATGAAGGGGATGGCAAGGGAAAGGATGGGGGAGGGGAGGGCTGCTGTGGGATCCGGAGAAAGGCTGGCTGTGCACGCTCTCAAAGACTGATTTCCAGAGAAAGGGCCCAGAAGTGGCCAGTTGCCTTTAGGGCAGGGCATGTCTGTGGGAAAGAGAGTTGGCACAGGCATAGAGGAGTCCAGAGTGGTTGAGAAGGCACTAGGCTATAGCACTGATGTCCTGGGTAGTAGTGGCAGCTGGCATAAGTCTTGTTGGGGACCTGGCTGTGTCCAGAGGACTTGGTATGCTATGTCTGGGGTAGAGAAGGGGATCATTGCTCAAGATCTGTTCAGAAGGGACCAAGTATCTAGTGGATTTCGAGGGATGGAGGATCTGAGTGTCTCTGCTGACCAGGTGCAGGACAGCTAGCCACAGCTCACCTGGGTGCCCTGAGAATGGCTGGCCTGCTGCAGTTGACAAGGGGCTCAGTGTGAGGACAGCCATGCCTCCCAGCCTTCCTCCAGGGAGCCTGGGTTTGTGTGGATGCTCAAGGTGGCTTGCTCTGTCCTCGGGGACTCAGTTACAGAATCCCCCTTGCCTTGGACAAGACCCTATGAATTAAGCTGCCAGGTTGCTCCTCACAGCCCCACCACGGCCTGGTTGCCTCCTCTGCCAGTCCCTGTCTATCAGGAAATGAAGAGGATTGGGAGGACCAGAAGGAGGAGTGTCCTTGAACCATCTCTAGGCATGTGACACCCTTGTACTCAGCCTCAGTGTCCTGCTGCAGGAAGTGAGTTTGAGTCACAGTTTCCCTCTAAGGGCCATGAGGACTGCCCTGCAGATGATGCCTGAGTGCCCAGCTGGCCTTGGCTAGTTGGATGTGTGTCCTTCTGTCTGGGGAGCAAAGATTGAGTATAGGCCATCAGGGAGCAGCTACTCTGGAATGATATGCCTCCCCCACCAGCACCACCACCACCAAGAGGCGGGATTGGGGCAGCCAGTGAGCCAGGGGCCATTAGCACCTGCATGTAATTAGTGATCACTTCCTGGGAGTTATTTTTATCTTAGTCTTTTATTGGGTTCCAAATAAATTGAGCCAGACCAGGAAGTCCTGGGAAGTGGGTAGTCGGGGCTCTGGCTCTCACTGCCACCCTGTCAGGGCACCTGGCACTGGAGTTTTTCCAATCCAGCTGTTCACTGGGTCTCACCGCTCCCCTGGAAGGTTGGGAACCCTGTCTAAGGCAATGGCCACCTGGCTGACCCCAGAAGGGAAGGAGAGAGAGTGTTGCAGAGTACCTGAGGCCTTGGCCAGGCAGCCAGGTGATCTGTGAGCAGCCCATGTGTCTGTGAGTGAGAGAGTTCAGGGGGGCAGAATATATACATTGAGGGGGTCTCGGAGGGGGTTTGTTCCGCCTCTGGGCAGTCTGTTCTGGTGGGGAGTGGGTGGGTGGCTGGTCTACTGATGCAGCCTGTGAGGTGCCAAATTGTGAAGTCTGTCTACACTGGGCAGATATTGGGGAGGTGAGGAGGTTGCTACTGGAGCAAAGAGGTTGGATAAGGAGTGTATGTCCAATGGGGATTAGGGGTGCAGTAAGGTGCTGAGTCATCAGGGAGAGGAGAGGGGGCAGCTGTGTGCCTGCAGGGCCATAGGGTGTGGGCTGTCCATGCATGACTGAGTGTGAGAGCATGTGTATTTGGTGTGAGCTTGGAGTACGTGTGCATGCCTAATACATGAGTGATACGTCGATAGCTGTATAATTCTCTGGATTTTACAAGGGACTGCTCAGGTGGCCAAGCTGAGTGCCTGACAAAAGCAGGTCAGGAGCCTGATAAGCCAGAACATGAGCTCAGAACCCCTCGAATGGAGAGGACAACACCCCCTGAGAAAGGGCCGTTCTGCACACCACACACGCTTTACACACCACGCACACTATCATCCCTGACTTCTGATGTCCTGACTTCAGGATGGTGTGAAAGGCACTCAAGTTCAGTAGAAGCCTTACTGGATGTGACTCCATTCTGTGTGACCACTCACTCGTCACTTTCAGTAGCTCATGCATTTTACAAGACACTTGACCCCTGACAACATGCATCCTTTGTGTTAGGCACATCTGAGCTGGCTTGGACCATAAACCTCAAGGCCCACTCCTCCCAGAGACCCAATTTTTCAGCATGTCCCTACCTCCCTATGGCCATACAATCTCCCAGGCAGCTCCAGCAGCCTGCGAGGCATCTCCGATCTAAACCATAATATTCTTCCCTGGCCCCCCCTAGGCTCGGGTTCATCCCAATGCAAGATTCATTCCATCTAACTTCAAAAGTCCCTGTAATTTTGTACTGTTCCAGCACTACTGAAAAGCCCAAGGGCTCTTCTGAGACCCAGGGCACTCCGTTCTCTTAACTGTGAGCCCATGTAGACTTCGGTTATAAGTCAGACACTTCTGATGCACAGTGCACTGGGTAGACACTTCCATTTCAGTAGGAGGAGCGAGGACACAAACAAGATAGAGAGATCAGCCGCAGCAGGACTGAAACCCAGCAGGGAAGACATCAAATGCTGCAGTTCTGTGTCCGAAGTCTGGGGCTTGTGCTGAGATGGAGTCATCTGTGCTCTGGTGGGCTTGGATAGCTTCCCCTACAGCCATTTTGCCTGTGGCACGCATGTTTTCTCCTTCTTGGCAAATGTTCCCAGCATAGCCAGTACCCTGAGGTCCTGATTGGAGGAGCTTAGGCCTTACCTTCACAACTGCAGTCATTGCCCATGCCCAGACTCCATGTAAAGAACCCAGCCCTTCTGGGCGGCAGTGACACACGCCTTTAATCCCAGCATTTGGGAGGCAGAGGCAGGCGGATCTCTGTGAGTTCAAGGCCAGCCTGAGCTACAGAGTGAGTTCCAGGACAGGCTCCAAAGCCACACAGAGAAACCCTATCTCGAAAAACCAAAACAAATAAACAACAAACAAAAAAAAGGCTGTGGCTTGGTTACTGCTCATCTCTCTTAGCCAGTTTGAGAGTGAGAAAGAGCATCATCATCAGGTTCTGAAAAACCTGCAACCCCAGCTGGACATACAAGCCCATGGGCCATCACATATCCAAATAGCATCACATGGCTGACTGCGAAAAGGGACCGCAGGAGAGATGCTTTATTCTCTCACAGGGGAATCCTTGTGTGTAGACAGGCTCCAGCCTGATGATTAAAAATTACCATTTTCCAACTTTCCAACTGTGCAAAAATCACTATATATTCCGTAGACATTTCCCCTCTAATTTTGAGCTTTTGCTTTTCTTTCCCAGACTGGCAACGTTTGGTATGGCATTCTTCTGAACAGTGGGCAGAGCAGCAGGTGTCGATCAAGTGGTCACTTCAGGGGACTGCTGCGGAGCTGTGAGGCAGGGTGGGTTGTACGCGTTTCATTTGCCTCCACCTTAGGATATTTTCAAGTTGTGAGCAGGGAAGGGTGTTGGCTCAAAAGCTCATTCTGATTAGAGAAGCAGGTATACATTAATCTGTTACTTTTTATCCCCTCCCCTTCTGTTTCCAGCCTACCAAGTCTGGCAGCAGAGATGTAAACCTGGCTATTCATGCTGTGATACAGAGGAGAGGAGCTGACGTGGAACACATCTCATTCCCAGAGGGGGTGTGCTTGGTGCACCCTTGGTGGAGAGGAGATATCACAGTAGGTTGGGTACAACGTGGTGCCCTGCCTATTGGAAGTCAAACGTGGCTAGAGCAGATGGGTATTTTGAGACTGGGCAAAGTGTGGCTGTGCCAGGTTGTCTGCTCAGCCAGCCGTGGTACCGAGGTGGCAGCTAAGTTTTTCAGGATCTTCTTTCTCCTGTTGATCTGTTGATGGGTTTTCCAGGGAGCAGTGTTCTTGAGAGAAAGAAAGGCAAGGTGTGCATGAGAGATTGTGTGGCAGGGCCAGGTACAACAGCCTGTGCAGGCAGAGAAACCTCCACTGAGCTGCAGGATTTCTCATCTTGTGGTCTTTGTTCCTGTAGTGGGTTGGCTTGGGCAACCCCTCTGTTTCACGTTGCCAGCCGTTTCCCTGATGATCACAGCTGGAGCATGTTCCAAGATCCACATGGGTCATGACTTACTTAGCAGCATACCTTCCCACATTCCAATTTGTAGATACTTGGGCTCGTTCTGAGGCTTGCTACTGGGTGTCACAACCCTCTGTGGCAGTGACTGCCATCTAGAGCATGACCGACCCTCAATCTGGAGCCAGCCAAAGTGCTCAGAAGTGACCCTCGAGCCTCTCTGCCTGAGCGTGGCTGAGAAAGGGCACCAGAGTCGGGGGAGGAGCAGATCTGATAGCTTTGCCATTAATACCTTGGAACCCAATTCATAAAAGCATCTAATTACAGGGAGCCTGCATTTCATTGTCGTTTTGGTAATGACCTGCAACTGCATACAAATTACAGGGTAATCCCCTCAGTGGTGCTCAGTTTCCTCCAGTGAGGAACTTTCCGGCAGGCGTCTGAGGCTCAGGTGATGCCAGCGGCAGAGTATGCCCCTCTCTAAGGCACTCATGATACTACAGAAAGATAAATGTCATGAAAGCTGGGCACATGCACTGCCCACCCGCCATGAAGCAGTGTTCTCAAGTCCGCAGGCTGGAACGCAGCAAGGACTTGGGTCACACAAGCTGAGCCTGTTCAGCTGGGGTCAGGGGATCCCAGGGGCATGGATAATCTGACTGCTTCTGTCCCTGCGAGGGTGTCTTACCAGTGGTTAGAAGCCTGTCCCTTCACCAAGCTCTCGAAGGAGCCTAGAATGCCTGAGGCTCAGCCCCCACCCTCAGCTCTGCGCACAGAGATACATTCTACGTACAGCTTTGTTTTGTTTTCTTCCCAGAATGCGTGTGACTTTGCCTGATTGTAAAGACAAAAATCAAAGTGAGCCATCACAAGTTGGGGACCATCTGTACATCCAGTGGTAAAGACGCACATAGGGCACAAAGCTAAGATTTCCTCCTTGGCCCCTTGAGTGTTCCAGGAGCAGCCACCTCAGTTCCTTCTTCTTCACTGAGGCCTCTTCTGTGGGTTCACACGCAGCATTAACGACCCCCTGACACTCCCATCCACAGCTGTCCTGCTTCATTTGCTGGTAGTCTCGGACATACTGCCACTTCTGATGTCACACTAGGCCTTCATTTTGAGTTGTATGGGCTCAGAGGTGTGGATGATGTATTTAGCCCGCCTCCCCCAATCTGTGGACACGTGGGGGTGGTTCCACATTCTTGTATGTGAGCTGCCGTGTGCTTCCATGCATGCGTGCATCTCTAGGGTGGCGTGTTTGGATGCTGAGCCCCTAACAGCATGCATTCACGTCAGCACACACCCTCACCTGGCTCTCAGCTGCTTTCAGACAGCACCCCACTGCACCCCCGCTCCCCTGTGGCTTCTCCCCATAGACCAGGAGCTCCGGACACTCATCAGATGCTGCTGAACTGTGGGTGCTGACTGTCCTCCAGAGGCCCCAATGTTCATGGCTAGGTTCCCAGGGGACACCATAGTGAGATGTTTCCAGGTCCCTGGGCATGTCCTTGAAGGGCATGTGGCACCCCAGACCCTTCTTGCGGTTTTTTTTCTGCTCTCCACTGTGAGTAGAACAGCTATGTTTTGACATCTGTCACCACCATGGTACAGTGCTCAACCAGAGGCCTAAAAGCAGTGGCCACCAGTCATGGCCCCTGATCTCTGAAATGCTGACCCCAGAGAAAACATTTCCCATTTATAAGCGGCTCCTCTCAGGTATTTTGTTATTTGAAAGCTCACAAAAAGAGGTGCCCCTCCTCCCCACCCCCATCCCACCCACCTAACAGCAGCCGTGTCCTGTCCTGCTCTACAGCATTGTCCCTATAACTGTGACATGTCTTCACTTCAGAATGAAACCCAGGGCTCTCATGTCCCTAACCCCACAGTGTAGCTGGAGACACTAAAATGCAGGCAGGGGCCCTTCTCTCTCACCCAGGGCTATAGAGAACTGATGCATGGCCCAGGCCAGAGGGCAGCAGCCAACACTGGCCTTCTGGGGCCGCCCCCACCAGGGGCCTTCAGGCCGCGTCCTTGGCCTAATCCCGTTTTCTGCCCAGCTGAGCAGTGGGAAGGCTTAGTTCTCACCCATTTTAATGCAAAGGAGGCTGCCTAGCCAGCTTGTTCTGAGCATGGTGACAGTGGCCATGAATGGGGACCCCAGTAACGGCGACAAAAATGTGACAGGGCCCTCCATCATGGTATTGTGCGACAATTGGGACATTATAGTTAGTCCTGGAACCCACTCAGGAAGGGGCGGGGGCCTCCGGCTCGTATGCTAAGCAGGGCCAGGCCCGCCTCAGCCACCTTCTCTGGCCTGTCCAGTGACCCCATTGTGTGAGGTGCCTACATGGGGCTCCTTAACTGCCTTCCTCCTTCTCTCCCTCCGTCCCACTGAGGCTTGGACTCAGCCTGGGCAAAGGGGCTGGTCCTGGTGCCCTGCTGAGTGTCCCTGGAGGGTGCTGCCTTCTCAGGGCCTTAACTGGCAGTAATAAGAGGGAAGTAAGTGACCATATGAGAGCGGGGTCCTGAGTGTTTGCCTTGAACTGTACATACTCTGCCAGCCCTTTTTGCAGCCCCCGGAGAAGGGGCTTTGCTTGATCCGGATTGCAGATGAGGCCGTTAGCTCTGGAAGCTGAGAACCTATGTGGTGTGTGGGTGTGCATGCGTGCGTGCATGCGCGCAGCCACGCCAGGCAAATCTCTCGCCTCTGTCCACAGCCTGGCCATGGTCCTCAAAGCAAGGCAGGAGTTTGCACTCATGAGCTATGGAGGGTAGCTCGGGACTGGGGTGAAGAGCCAAGGCAGGGACTGGCTGAGGCTCCTTCCTCCCTTCTAGGCTGTCCTGCCCGAACCAGACCAGACTCCATTGATCAAAGCAGTCTCCTCGCCCCTGAACCATAGGCCAGCCTGCTCTGCCGGCCCCCAGTTCCTTTCCATTTGCAGCTGGACAGCTTCCAGGGCCGGAGTTGGGACAGGCAGTAATGGACCACAGACTGAGTTATGGAGTCCCGGAGGCAACCACAGCAGTGGAGCCTGGACCCCAGCACAGCTGAGCTGTGGGACACTGGTCTCCCTGGCCCCTGGACTCCCCATCCTCTCTCCTTAGCAGAACAGCTCTTTGGCCTTCCTTCTAAACTTTCCAGAGTTGGCGACTGAAGCTCGGAGGACGAAGACGGTTCACCTAAGGTCACACGATAAATGAGCTCCGGAGGCCTCTCCAGTGAGGCATGGCTTCATGGGAGTAGGGAACCATGGGCTTCCCTACCATGCCCTCCCTCTGCTGTGTAAGGAGGCTAATGTGGTTATGTGCCTGTGTGGCTTTGAACACATGACTTTTTGAATCAGAAATTCCTTCACAGCCTCTTCCTGCTGGGAGAGCCCCTGAGATGTTCAGTGGGCAGGACAGTAGAGAGGGGGTTGGAAAGCTATGAGTGGTCAACTAAGACTCAGGTCTCATTCATTAAGGTCTGTGCCTAGAGTGAGGGTGGTGGTTTTTATGCTTCCACTGCCCAGATGATTCCTGAATCTTGCCCCTGGGTCTGGAGGAGCCCGCCAGAACTGGGAGGAGTTTGCCGCTGCTCCCCGGTAGAGGGTCCTCCCCATCTGGAGAGCATGGCTCATGGCAGTTTCTGAAGGCTTCCCTGGGACAGGAGGAGGAACTGGGGTTGTGGCCAGAAGATAGGACTGCGTCCCAGGGTGCAGTGTGCAGACAGACAGGCTACAAGCTGGTGAGGGGACACTGCCTCCCAGCAGGCACCTCAGAACTGGGCAGGCTGAGAGGGGAGGCAGAGCTCATCTAGCTATAGAGGCTAGGGGCGGGACCCTAGGAAAGGGGGTGCAAAGGGCCTCAGGCTTGAGTGGGAGCTCAGTTCTGGGACCCACAGGGCCCTTCCTTCCCAGAGTGCTCTAGCAGGAGCCCCCCCCCACCCCGCCTCCTGCTGATTACAAATTGCTCTGTGATTTTCTCCCATTACCATGGTGACGGCAGGCCTAGCATCTCAGGCAGCAGTGGGATGCAGCTGGATCGTTTAAGTCTGGGGCTCTCCAGGCCCCCTCCCCTCCTTTGTCCTCTCTGCCTTCTTTCCTCTGTGTATTCTTTACCCATTCATTCCCTCCTCCATCCCTTTCATTCATTCATTTCCTCCTCACGCCTCCCCTCATTCATTCATTCATTCATTTGTTCGTTCACTAGTTCCCCCCGTTTCTCCCTCCCTCCATCGTCCCCTCACTTCACAGCTCCTGGCAGCCCTCAGGTTGGCAATGATTGCCAGTGACTAGCCAAACGTCCGGAATATCAGATACGTCCTTTGGTGTCACAGCCACATGAGCTCAAAGCTCCAGCTTCATTTCATCCTCTGGTGGCTCTAAGAAGCAGGAACCCCCCTGCTAGTCTACTGCGGTTGCATTGTGGCGACTAGGTCCCACAGCGGCCCACCTTCCTGGTAGCTCTGTGTTACACCCTGGCCTTTGATCATCCGACATCTCAGAAGCCACAGGTACCTGGAAAGGAGCAGCAAGGCCACAGCCCGCTCTAGTGTGGAGCTGCCCTCACCCAGACCTGGCATAAATGGCTTCTCAGGGCTCTTTAGTGGTGCCCTGGACCAGCTGATTTTCACAGCCCCTCCCACTCCCCAACCCCCCCACCCACCCACTCTCTCTCTACCTTGCTCTGTACCCAGGAGGCTGCCACTCATCCACACTGGGGCTTCTCTCTGGGCAGAGCAAGCAGGGAAGGAAGCCTGCTTCCTGCCTCCACCTCCCTCTTCTTTCTGTAGTCACTGATTTTACCCCGGCCCCTTCTCATGGCTCCAGATCTGAGCTCTATGACCCCCTTGCTCCGCTGTCCCTGTGGCCCAGGGTGACAATGGCTGTGTGCCACTGTGGGCCGCTGCTTCTCAGTCCTGCGGGCTCCCTGCTGTCACATCTCTGGATGTTTCCTGCTTCTGTCTGCATCTTCTGCCCACCCCAGGCCAGAGCCTGGCCTCGTTCTGGCTCGGTTAACTTTGGTCTCTGCCAGTTTTCGGTGGCTCCCAAAGGTAAGAATTCCGGAGCTAGAGAGCTGGGTTCTAATCTCAGGGCTAACAGATCCTGATCTGCCCTATCAGAGCTGTGTGACCTTGGGAAATGGTCTTGTCTCTCCGGCCCGCTTCTGGTGATTATAAGGCCCATCGCAAGAGACTACTGTAAGGACTAAGTCCCTTGACACCACCGAACACATGACCAGCATGTACTACTAGGTAATAAATGCCAAGTAAGTAGTCGGTGCTTCGAAAGCGTTCACCCTGCTGCCCTTACCAAGTTCTTGTAAGCTGTGGGGCTGGGTAGAAGCTACAGGCAACCACTGGCATTCTCACCATGGAGACTGGCAAACCTTTCCACCCAGAGCACTGGTTCCCAAGACAGAGCTGAAGGTCTCTCCATCCTCTGCTCTCACAGCCTCGTCCCCCCATATTCTTCTCATCACCCTCTTTTTGACAGTGAGACAGGGCGACCCTGGATAGCGTGCGACTTCATGCACAGGACCCTGTGACTTGCCCCCACTCTTGTGGCCTCACACCGCTCGCCTCTCCACTCCCTTTTGCCTGCCATGGTTATACTAGAGGGCTGCAGGCCTCCTCGCCTGTCCGGCCTGTAACTGGAGCTGTGGCGGTGTGGCCGAGTCCTGGTGGCCAGATCGCACAGGTATCAGTGACTACCAGTGTCCCGTTTTCCTTCACACAGGGACACAGTTAAACAATGACTGACAGTCCTCACAAGGGCCTGGCTTCCCCAGGGAGAGGCCCGGGCATGCTATCAGGCCTCACGATCTTACCCCTTAAAAGGCCTGCCCTCCCTGCTGACATATCGCACAAATGGGGCCTTCAACCATTGCCAGGGACCGTCTGCTGTCCTGGGAATGTGGGCCGGAACCTGGGGCCCCGTGCCAGCCAGTCCTGCGCAGCTCGCCCTTTCCCTCTCTGTGAACCTGCCTCTCCGAGCACCTGACCATTTTTCCTCTCTCAGCCTGGATTACACCCCGTGAAAGCCCTTTGTTCCCTGGCTGCCCAGCTTCTGCCAAAGTAGCCATCTGCCCATGCACAATCACTCAGACCCTGGGCCACTCTTAGGTACCAGCGTTGGCCTAGGAGTTAGGTGGCTTGGTGGCTGAGGGGATGGGCATGCCACTGCCATGCCAGATAATCCTGAGAGTTGCCTCTTGTCTCCAAATGCTAAGCTGTGTATTCTAGAAATTTCTCTGCAGCAGCACTGAAGAGGCTTTATTATTAGCTCATGGCTGGAGAAGTTCTCCCTCGACAATGCTCTTCCTCATCCGTAAGGAAGATGCCTTACCGCCTCCCCACATAATGGCCCCACAAGTGCTGAACTTGGTGGTGGCAGGCCTGGCAGAACTGACCCCGCGTTTGAGCCAGCCTGGGCTACATGAAGCCCTGTCTAAAAAAGTGTCCTGACTACTTTTATGTCGACTTGACACAAACTAGAGTCATCTGAAAGGAGGGAACCTCAGCTGAGAAAATGCCCCCAGAAGATCTGGCTGTAGGGCATCTTCTTAATTAGTGATTGACGACAGAGGGCCCAGCCCATTGTGGGTGTTACCGTAACTCTGGGCTGATGGATCTGAGTCTATTAAGAAAACAGGCTGAGCAAGTCATGAAGAGTAGGCCGGCTGCTCCATGGCCTCTGCATCAGTTCCTGCCTCCAGGTTCCTGCCCTGTTTGAGTTCCAGTCCTGACTTCCTTCAGTGATGAACAG